ATTCTTTTGGCATAATAAGATGCTAGGCTCTCAATCTATACCTGAAATTTGAATTTGCCAGTGGCTTCGATGTTCTACTTCCTCTTATGTGGTAAAATTTCTTCATCACAGTGCTGAAACGTAACGAGTTGAAATTAATTCTCCATTTTCATAGCAGTGTCATCCTCTAACATAATCAGATGCTCTCAATCTACGTTTGAAATTTGAGTTTGTCCATTTCAGTGTCCTCGGTGTTCTACTTCTCGCGTTCGTCACCGTTCGTGTCCTTAAACATGGTTATCGATCAGGCTGATTCATCCTCGTCGATGCATGACCGTGGCCTACGTGAATTCCTGGTCTCGTTGAAATCGATTCGAGACATCCCCCAGCGATTTTCACGGACCTCGTGTTGACACCGTGGGAGAAACGATCCAAGTATTGTCACGGATCCGTTGGCTCCTCTGCCACGATTTCATTTCCTCCGGTTCGGTAAACCGAGCCGATCGTCACGGTGCGCACTTGTGCCGTGACAATCGCGATTCCCAGACCGTCAAACAGTGTCTCGGGAGATACCAGCTCGATCCATTTCTTCCTGGCGTCCTTAATTGGGACGACTCTCGAGCGAGCACCTGACTTCCGAGAACGCCTAACACGAGCTCCGGGCGTAAATCGTGGATTCCAGGAGGGTTCAGGTGATTTCGTTAATGGGTTCCGATGATATCGAGCGGGCTGGAATTTGTTTGCAATGGTGTAAGGGTCAACGTCGATAATCTTTGCTCCGTGGTGCACTACAGAGCTGGATAGTCTCAGCTGGATACTCTTTGGAGAGTTGGTGACTCTTAATGATTGTAGAATACATGGTACGTCTTGATGGTTATTGTAAGTACATACTCCTTCCATACTCTTTCTAATTTATGTCATCAAATTAAATTAAACTTCTATTAATTTCGTCTCAGTATCAGCATCAGTTATTTTAAGTGTTTCAACTATACAGGCATAGTTATTACACTGACTGTATATTGCTCTCAGTCTTCTTTTTTTCGTTGCTCCATAGTTTTAACACTGTTCACAATATCTCCTATTTCTATATCTATTGGGACCTGCCCTCTCCCCTACAACTCGGTTCCCTCGGGATCGTTAAACCCGCACTGTAGCTGCAAATTCGCATACTACAGCCCCTGAGGGTTATTAATTTCACCTAAAGATTCCTGTGAAAATTGCAACAGATAACTTTCAAGAACAATATACCCAAAATATTAAAAAAATTAACCCATCAATGAATTCAATTTGTAAAATAAATATTTAGAACCCGACTCATACCAAGCTTTTCATTTTGTACGAGCGATTCTGCCAACCCACTTTGTCCAACACGGATTTTTCATGGAAGCTGTACAAGGGTCAACCGCGGTTCGCTCCGTTCCGTGATCCAGCCATTTCAACCAGCTCCCGCCGCATCGGCAACAACTGGCTTTTCGCCGTCCCCGAAACATTTAGACTGGACGGCCGACACACTTTAACCGAGGGATTGCAGCCGATATAACATTTCGCGTGGAACGCAGCCGCGCGTTTTACCGCGGAACGGGGTCGATTCGTTGACTGGGTTGAACTTTTAGCGAGACCGAAGTCACGACTCGGTCCGGCGAGCACGAGTGGGCAGCAGTTGGTCCGTAGAGCAAGCGGGTGGCCCGTGGACGTGACTTTATGCGACGCAGGACTCCTCCGCTTGTGCACCGATGATATAACGTGGAAGAGACCGGGCACAATGGAGTGCCATCCTCCGGGGCACAAAAGGAACGAGGTGTTTCTACTGCCCGCTGTTCGCGATTGATGATCGCGATTCGATTCCGAGAAAATTGCTGCGCCGGTTGAACTATTAAACGGCAATGGTTATCGGCGTTCATTTGCCGGAGAGGCGGTTACGATTACGAATTGACGCGACTCTGGGAATAATTACGCGTCGTTGAAATGCTTTCTAGCGGTTAAACGTATTTCGGATTGCGAGCAATTGTTTCTTAATGATCCATTATCGTGAATTATGTGTGATTGTGTCCAGGTATTCTACGTGAAAGGAGGTATTCAATTATAATTCCTTGATGAATACTTCTGTCGATCGATGTCCAATTAAAATATTCTTTGGTAACAAATGTATATACAGTCTCGTAAGTATTCGTACCCTCTATTGAAGAAATTGGTCTAATTTAAATGAAGAGGCTTCACGTTTCTAAATCAATTTTTCTTCATAAATGAATATACTTCACAAATACATATGTGTATTCAATTATAATTCTTTGATGAATACTTCTGACGATCAATGTTCAATTAAAATATTCTTTGGTAACGAATGTATATAGAGTCTCGTAAGTATTCGTACCCTCTATTGAAGAAATTGGTCTAATTTAAATGAAGAGGCTTCACGTTTCTAAATCAATTTTTCTTCATAAATGAATATACTTCACAAATACATACGTGTTATAAATTTATTCAGAAACATGAAGCATTGATTTGAACTAGACAAATTTTTGTAATAAATATAGAGCGTACATACAAGTTAATTTCGTAAAATTTAAAAATGAAAGGTACGCCCATATATCTGCCAGCAAACGCACAATAAAATCGAAGAATGCAACCGAATTCACTTAAGAAACTAATCGTCTCTCTAATCGTCTTCCTCCCTCGCCTCTCCATAGTTCTAAGTCAACAATATTCCAATCGTAGTCGATCAATTAACCCCGACTAAGCCTGGCCAATCCTCGCGGTCGAAGGTAAAAGATTAAAATAGCAATTTCTCAGCGTCCAAGCCGAACGAGTTAATTATCAGAGGTAGCCATAAATTCGACGGACCGAATCATCGCGTTCCCGTGGTCGTCATGTTCGTCCGACTTGTCAACTTCTCCCTGCGCCATGTCTAGGCCAGCATTATAATTGCAGATGGACACGGCGAGCTCATAATTCGTCCCTGGATACCCCATGGCGGAGAGTTTCGCAGACGAATCCTTTCGTTCTCCAGTTTCCTACGCCTATATTGGCATCCACACCTGCGCCCCATCCTTCTTCGTTTTCCGCGAGGAACACGCGCCTGCGATTCATTCTCGCGCGGCGATCGAGTTCTCGCTTTATCGCGGCCTGTATCGCCGTTAATTTATCGCCCGGTTTCCAGCCACGGCATTAGAAAACGAGGAATCGCGACCGCGCCGCCGCAAATCATCCAGCGGAAACTGCGAAGTTGTCGTCGTCGTCGGCGCTGAACGGATCAAACGCGCGCCCGTACTGTTCCCGTCGAGAGGAGGACGGAAACACGAGGGATTCGATGAAATTCCGGTGAAAAATTTGTGAGGGCCCCAGAGCTTGTTGGTAATAGAAAGTTTTACATACTAGTGGAAATACGAAGATTCGCAAATGAAGTTTTCAAGGGTTCGAGTGCTGATAGCGTATATTCAGGTGAAATTTTATACATAAATATGTATGCATGTGTAAATATGTTACACATAAACATGGATAAAATTTCATATATACAAAATATATGTATATATAGTAAGATACGACAAGATCAAAAATTAAAGCATATTATAAATGTATTCGTTTGAATCGAATGTAAAAGAAACGACATAGCTAGAAAACTGCTTTTCCAGGGTTCTCGTGGCAAGCATAAGTCGCGAGACGCAGATGTATTTGCCGAAATAAAAGCCTGGGAGGGGAGCATCTGTGAAATCTGAAATTATGCAGATTGCGGCCCATAAGCTGGAATTTTGATGGCTGCATATGCTCCAGATTAATATTAATTTAATTCGTCACTCGCGGCTATAAGGGCAGCCGGGTCCGCTGTGCGTTCTTTCGGAGGATTCCTTTCTTTTTGCAAGGAGACTAATGATTAAGAAGAGAGCGAGCCGCGGAACTCGAGCAAGCTACGCTTCTGTTATTAACGTGTGCTTCACGTACGATTGTCATGTCTTTGGAAATGTTCTTCGCTGAATATCAGAGCAGACCTACCTCTTCATTAAAATTTACCATGGCTCCATCGATCTTCTGCTTGTAATTAAAACGTTCCACGAGATTCGAGAACTCGCGTTGCATTCGCGAATTTTTGAAGCGAATTAAGAAGTCTATGAAGGTTATTCATAAATAATTACGGACAACATTACTTTAGTTCCCGTAGAATTATTAAAGATTATTAAAAGGTTGCAGCGATGCTCGTTACCTCTTTGGTCTTAATTACCGCGCAATAAGCGATCGATTAATTGATCGTTCATGGCCAGAGTTTAACGCGGGAATCGAAGATCGATAGAGGTTGCGTCACGTTGCACTTGGCAAGATCGGAACGAAGGATCGGAGAGGATAGTTTTACTCAGGACGTGGACGAATCGATACAACGTTCTTGTTCGCGACGATTGATTAATCGACGCATCGGCCATTAGGTTGCACACTGTGGGAACGAGGAAGTGGAAACTTATAGACCACGAAGCCGAGATTAGCAATGTTGCATAGTAGTCCGAGCGCAGCGTAGGATGCAGCTGAAGTGAAGCTGTCTAGGGTCAACTGGTCTCGAGCTCCCTTGCGGCGCTCAGCCGGCAATTGATTAGCCATCATCCTATAAAATCGAGCGTTTCGTTCGCGGAAGGCGTGCTACGTTTGTAAATCAGAAAGGAATTGTTATTGCTACGAAAATTTACGAGACGTTTTGAAACGCGATAAAAATCGATTTCCCGTTCAGCGCTTTGGTTATTTAGATTCAGCGGGAAATATTCTTTAAAAATGGCCCACACAATGGCGAGATGACGTCGCTTCAGAAAGATTTACGTGAATTTTATTGAATTGCATTTCCATTGCAAATGGACGAATGAATCGCAGTTCTTTCCAATCTTCCGCGGCGCCTGAATGCTGTTCGCCCAACCATCAGGCTTGCAATTTCACGAATCCTGGCTCCTTTTTTTAGGCACTCGAAAGTTACGAGTAACGTTGGCGATTTTTCTTGTATTCGTTGATTAGTGAATCATAACGATAACATTATTTTATCGTAGATGTATCGAGCCTATAAAATTCCTCGTTTATCTTAAAATGTGCTTACTCGTACACGTTTGTTTGGATGTAACGAAAGTGCTCCAATATTTCACGTCGTAATTATAATTTATCGTTCATA